AAAGTAGCAATTGTTGGAATTGCAGGTTGCACGAGTCCCGACCCGGTATCATCACATCGTCCATGGTAATGTCCACAATGTCAGCCATGGTGTTGTCGGGTTCGCTTTCTTTCTCGCTTTCTTCTTCGGATTCTGTCTCGTACTCGGTCTCTTTTGGATCCGGATTTTGTTCAAAACTTTCTATATTTCTCCCTTCGCTCTTTTGACTGCTAGATTCACCCACGTTCTTTCCTTTCTTCTTCCCAAAGACCGATTTAAGGTCATTGAAAGGTGACTTCTTTGGAGGGTTAGTTTCTTCAACGACTTTATCTTTGTTCTTCCTAATAGAGGATTCTTGGTCTTTGAGTGGTGGGACCAAAGGCGTATTTGATCCATGGGTCATATAATACCTGAAAGAAAATAGAAAAACACGCGTAAAAAGAACAAAACGAAATAAAAACGAAAATGAAAACTACGATGGACTTGTCGAGTCAGTTCGACTTGACTCGACGAGTTCACTACTAAAACTGAAAAACTAAAGATCTAAGTCTAAAACAAAAAAACTAGTACGTTAAACTAACTAAATAAATGACAAAAATATAGCTTTATATAAGATAAGTCTTACATAAATGATCGATAACACTAGCAACTGAAATAATTATTAGAGTCGTTCCCTGGCAATGACGCCAAAAACTTGATGTGTGTGAAATGCACTAGTTTTAGTCCCACTATTTTAACATAAATTTAACACACGAAAGGCAGTGTACCTATCGATTAGTGGTATAGTTTAAGCAAGTAGGGTATCGAACATAGGGAACGATAATAATTAAACTAACTCCTAGAATTATCTAACTAAAAACAAATAATAAAAGAAGGGTTTTTCTTGTATTTTGCAAGACAAGAAACTTAAGCAATTAACTAATACTCAGACAAAAATTATTAACATCTAAAAAAATAAAAGATAACAACATTCAATAATAAAGGAGACCTCTGTTTAGATTCGACTCACTTATTCCTATGATTGATTTTATGGCAAGTGCAATGGATTAAATTGTTATTGGGTACCGATTCCTAATGTGATTCGATTCATGTTCCTTATTACTAATCCCTAGTAAACTAATTAATTCAAACAATGGCTAATTGGTTAAACTAATGATTTTACTAGCATTTAATTCGAGTTAAGTAAGACTTGTAGTATTAGTTAATCAAATTTATCAATTTAATCAACATCTTGTATGGTTGCTCATCACACAAGCTCACACATTAACCTACCTATTTTCTAATTAATCCTAAGTTCATATTCACTAATACTAGGAATATAATATTGTTTTCACATAAATCATATGAAGCAAACAATTAAGAGGATGTTCATGCAATTTAATAGACTTGATAATTAACAGAAAATAGTTATTGTTAACACATAAGGGTCTTTAACAAGCTTAACAAAACAATTCACCAAATCAAATCAATCTGATACCATAAAATCAAACCATATTCCCAAGCTTATCTATCTAAACAGAAGTAATGAGTTTTTAGCTCATATCTACAGCAGGTAATAGCTCAAAAACAAAATCTAATAGCAAAAACATAGATTATATATGCAAAAGATTAAGAAAAGAGAGTGGGTTTTGCCTTTCGATCTCCTCCAAATCGATCTTTAGGGTTGATCTTCGAGTTCCAAAGCTCCAATAAACCTTCTATTCGCCGATTAGTTGCAGAGAGGTCCAACCAAAGGTTCTTGTTTCAGGAATTAGTGCCCTTTATATAGATTTATGAAAACAGGGGCAACTCGTCGAGTCCCTTTGACCGACTCAACGAATTCATCACTTAAAACACGTGTACGGAAAGTCTTTATTTGTTCACCAATATTCATGCCTACTCGACGACTTGAGGACCAACTCGCTGAGTCCTTCAACTTTTTAGCTAAATTTCTTCTTTCTTCAATTCCCGAGCTTTCGATTGCTAATCCCGCTTCCTTTTTAACCTGAGCATGTCTTTTAGGCTGAAAATACAATTTAAACATAATTAAGTACCCTTTTTTTCAATAATCGAGATAAAATATCCAAAAAGTATTAAGATATTAGATAAAATATATGACTAAATATGCACATATTAGTAACTTACTTAAAGATTACACCACCAATCGATCCTCAATTCCTCCACTTCAATCACGGTACTTCATCCTCTTTTCCCTTGATTTCAGTCGGCTAAACTCCTTTATTTTCCCACTCCTTTTTCCTTTCACCACAACTCAACACACACACACACACACAGATTTTACACATACATTTTTTTTTTGTTATTGCTAAGGATCAGCTCCAGCTACTAGATAATAAGAGAGAAGGCCGGTCAACTCTCTAATAGATCCAATATCTTTTCCCATATTTTACAATCTAACACCCTAAGGAAATCTATAATGACAATTGTTACCCCTAAAACATTTTTTCTTACAAGTTTGATCCAAGTCTTACCCAAAATAAATATTTTCTTCGAAAACAAAATATAACGATATTAAATAAATAACAATTAATAAATCAAGGTCACATACCAAGAATAGAGGCGGTCCACAAAATGAAACTATTAAAGACTATTTAAATATTCTACTTATCTTGTAATATTTACATTTTCTTATTTTCATAGATAAGTTTCTACTTTTGTTTATATTGACATCATTGGTATTAACACATGGAAGGGATTTCATTATCATGGTATCTGGTCATAGACATCTCTAAATCCATTGTTGATACTTTTTCATCATCATCTTTTTCTTCACATCTTCTTCTCTTCGTCATCTTTTTTCACCATCATCTCCAATTACCACAACCACTAAACTTCATTCAGTCATTCTCCAATGTTAAGAATCTCATATTTATTACTTTAGAGATAGTGATCCACTACATTGCCTACTAATATATCGATTGTGGATAAACATCATGGTTTGGACTCTTTAAGATCTACTAACATGCCTACCAAATTATTGATTGTATAATCACCCTACACCTATTAAACCTACTGATGACTCCATTGTCGATGCTAAGGAATCTTAGTCCTGACACCTATGATAATATGTGTGCTTTTATTTCTTCGAAAAATCTAGTTTAATATGAACACATCAAACATATTGATATTGATATCGATATCTATTTTGTTTGTAAAAAAAAGTCACTTGTGTTGAAGTTCTCCATTCGTCACATTACCAAATCATCAATTACTTTACCAAAGGATTTCCACTATATGACAAATTTAAAGATAGTTATTGCATAGGACTTCCACATGCTTCGAGTATGGATGACTATTAGTCAATATGTTTAAATGTTGCACTTATCTTGTAACCAATGAGTTTCCTTTCCAAGTAATAGAGATATCATTTTCTTTTTCCGATATGTAGCTTCACGAGCAAAGAGTACATAATCAGAATAGGGAGAAAAAAAAACATATGATCATGGTTATATTGTTTTTTCCTTTTGTTGTTGATATCATATCGAGAGCAACTCCTTCTTGTTCAGGGTGATCCAGTGAGATCTCTTCCTCCGACTCCGAGAAATTAGTCAAGAGGGAGGCTTTTATTGGAAGATTCTATATATTCTCAAAAGTTGATTCGATGGTCTTGCTCGTTAGCCTATAGACATGATTTGGGGGAGCTTTTCCTCTTTGACATTATGATTTTTTTTGTTATAGACATTAGAGTTACTGGTTGGGCTTCTCTTTGTTGTTTGCATCAGTTGTATTTCATTATTTTTTCGAGTGAAGTTTAAAGTTTTACTTTGAATAACTTTTGTATAGATAAGTTAGTTGTCTTGTATATATTTACATCATTGGTTAATGAAACATCAAAGGGATTTCATCAACTTAAGGCTAACGGGAGTAATCACCACCAACCCATTAAAAAGTGCCGCCGCCTAGGTGTCACAACATCTCCACTACCAAACCACTAATATTTAAAAATGGTTATGACTCCACATCATTTATATATATTTTTTAACATTAGATTAAATAAAAAAACATAATTATAAACTTACGTAATCATTGTACTAATTAAAAAATCAAATAAACATCATACTAATTTTTCAAATTAAATAAACATATATAGTTATATATAGTTGAGGGTTTAACTTAACTCAAAGAAAAAAGAGATGGTATAATGAGATTAAAAGACACAATCTGGACCATAGTTATAACTTCAACAAATATGAATCGTCATTTTTCTACCCATTTACTTATTGGTTTCCTTACGGGTCATTGCCATTCCGATTTTTTTACAGTAAAAAGGAGGAAAAAAAAAGGGTCAAATTTGTAAGCGTTGCTGCTGCTGTTTTCTTATTCGCGTCTTTGTCCGTCCTCACAACCAAGCACCGGTCCATGGGATGGTTTTTACCTGTCCTTTAGACTGCCATGTCGAAAATTACGCATATCTTGTACCACCATTACGAATAACCTAATATAAAATGAAATTGAAGAATCGTCATAAATATAAAAAACATTTTTTAGGATCATGTATTTCTAATTATCCTTTTTCTTAATGAAAGCCAAAACCTATGATTGGCCTTCAATTTGACTTAACTAAAACCTACCACGTGTCATGAAAGGGCACCGTTGTAATTGTACAAAAGAAGCAACACATACGAGCGCCAACGGTGGTACCATGCCCATATCCAATCAGACAATCTAGAAATATCAACTACCACCCACGTGTCACCTGGCATACCATCAGATCATAAAAAATATCTCCTATGGCCCCCACACACCCCATTCAAAATATCTACCCCAAATATCAATTTATAATTTCAGGGTTTTCACTTTATTATTTATTTCAACTTTCCCTACAAAGTTCTTTCTCCACTTTGGAAAACATAAAAATAAAATAACAATAAATGACAAATATCTCTTGAAAATTAATATACCTTCAACTAATTAATGCTGTTAATATATATATATATATATATATATATATATATATATATATATATATATATATATATATATAATTGTGCTTTTGTTTGAAAATATCTTGAAGATGAATGGTTGAAGTTTGTTTGCCACCTATAAAGAAGTAATATTTTAAAGAAAATCTGGGATCGAAACAAGTGGAGGAGACGTAGGCCGCACCAAGAGAGAGAGAGAAAGATGGGAGGCCAATGGGGTCTTGCTTTTCGACGTGGCAAATTTGAGCCATTCAGCGACATGATAGATATTTTTTTAGATTTTTTGTTCCAGATATTTTGATTCATTCATGTTTACAATAGAGGATAACTTTTCGTTCTTTCAAACGAATCCGGACATTTGGTATTCACCACAAACAAACACCCTCTCTCTCTCTCTCTCTCTCTCTCTACAGTTTTCTCGATTGTAAGTGAATATGGGGGAAGCGTTACTCAGCAGTGACGGCGGCGGAAGGTTAGCTAACATGCCGGAATTGATGATGAGAAGTGAAGACAAGACAAATGATGGCGGTGGTGATTCACCAACCACCGCCACCACGAACAACGTTGTAAGGTGGGAGAAGTTTTTACCCAAGATGACTCTTAGAGTTATGCTGGTTGAAGCCGATGATTGCACTCGCCAGATTATTACCGCTCTTCTCAGAAAATGCAGTTATAAAGGTACGTTCGTTATCACTTATCATCATCTCCCTTCAGTAATCAAAATCAAAAAGGGGAAAAGACGAAATTTGTGGTCAATCGTATCCAAATCTCTAAAAAAAAAAACTTCACAAAACACATATCCCCCAAATTCAGAAAGTGTAATCTTCAAGCAGAGATTTAGGAGAATTGAGGTTTATGTTTGTTTATTATATTGAAAACAGTTGTCGCTGTTTCCGATGGTCTAAAGGCATGGGAGGTGCTCAAAGGAAGATCTCAAAACATCGACCTCATACTGACGGAAGTGGAGCTCCCATCGATCTCAGGGTTTGCACTTCTCACCTTGATCATGGAGCACCAAGCCTGCAAAAACATTCCTGTCATAAGTACGATTTCCCTTAATTATACTTTCCTGTTTGAACTTTTATTCGGAATCGAATCTGACTTTAACAATTTATTTCAATCCTGCAGTGATGTCGGCACATGATTCAGTTAGCACCGTTTATAAGTGTATGCTGAGGGGGGCTGCAGATTTTCTAGTAAAGCCTGTTAGAAAGAACGAATTGAAGAACTTATGGCAACATGTTTGGAGGCGACAAGCTGTAAGCATCTTATCTTCTCTGTTCTTCAATCTTCTATAATGAATCTCTACTGATCTAGATTTTTATTATACTGTTGACTTAGTCAACCGCCGGCGGTAATGGCAACCACGAAGAGAGGGACACCCAGCAGAAAGTCGAAGCCACTGCTGAAAACAACGCAACTAGCAATCGTTCTAGTGGTTACATGGCTTGCATTAAAAGGAATCGGGAGTGCATTGAAAAAGGAAGCGATGCACAGGTAGCGATTTTGTTCCATTAAAACTAATTAGAACAGAAATTAGGGTTTTATTGGATATGAAATATGAAATGATGAAATCTCACTTTTACTGTGTATTTCCTTCCTTCTCCATAGAGTTCTTGCACAAAACCAGACATGGAAGCTGATGGACCAGCCACTGAAGAATCCAATGACCTCACAAGTACTCAAGAAAAGACCATGGCTATAGATGTTAGATGGGAGAATGTTAACGCAATTGTTGACGCCAATGTTGCCATCAACAGTACTTCTCGGGAAGCCATTGATTTGATTGGATCGTTTGATAGTTACCCTAAACCCAGTCACAAAAGCTCTTTAAATTATGGCACAAACAAGATCGATCATCCTTCACCATTGTTGGATCTTTCCCTAAGAAGATGTCATCCAAGTAGCTCAGTGAATCAACTCAGTGATGACAAACACAGATTAAAGCAATCTGATGTCTCCGCTTTCTCTCGGTGAGTATCCACTATCCACTATCGTATTCCAGATCTGAGATCCTTTTCTCTGTTTCTTCACCAATTACAGATCTGAGATGTTATAGCTATTTAATTATGATTCTGATTGATTTAAACATTGCATATGCAGGTACATCAATAGAACACAGCCACCACTAACCTCAGGATCTGCTAGCATTTCAAATCTACAGAAAGAATGTGAAACCAATTCCGATTACATAATCAATCAACAAGCACAAGCGGAAAGCCAAAGCCAATTCCAGTCACCCAAGGAAAGAGTGTTTCCGGTTCCGGTTCCAGTAAAAGGTTTACGGTTTGAGAATCCGAATCCAAATCCAAATCCAAATCCGAATCCTTGCTTGTTTCAACCAAATCCCTACTACATCTGCAATCCCGAATCTGCAGATTTGGTGATGGTGGAGAGGAAAGGGAGTGATCAGGGACATAATACAACAGAAACAATGGAAGATAGAGGACATATTTCTTCACCTACAGATCATAGTGGAAGTAGCAGTTTCTGTAACAATGGAACATTAAGCCGTCTCAACAGTATAGGTAGTGGAAGCAATGGCCATGGAAATTTAGGGTTTGATGGGAACAGCAGTCATCGATCTATACAAAGAGAAGCTGCTTTACATAAATTCAGAATGAAGAGGAAAGATAGATGTTTTGATAAAAAGGTATTATCACCATCTCCAATACACATCTATAAATTGGTACTATAAGTAGTATAAACACAAATGGAAGTTGGAAAATGAAACTGATTCAAATTGTTTTTTTTCCACAGGTACGATATGAAAGCAGAAAAAAACTAGCAGAGCAGAGACCTAGGGTGAAAGGACAGTTTGTTCGTCAAGGGCAAATCAGTAATTCTTCACCCATGGAAGCTGATACAGAATTAGCTACTACGAAAGTATAGGTATTGATAGTTGCTGGATATGGATTTGGTGATGGCAGAGTTCAGATCTCATATCTAGGGTTTTTTAAGAGTGAGGATGAAGAAGGCTGAGGAATCTAAACTAACAAGAACTTTTCACCTAATATTATTAGTTTTGGATTGTAAATATTTGTAATATAGAAGTAGTGATATTGTTGTATTATTCTTTGATCTTAATTACAAACGTAAGAGTTCTGTGAGACAAAGGTTGGTTTGTAACTTTTTTCTTTAATTTGTTGCGACTAAAAGGAAAAGATTGATTTATAGCTCAATGACCTTTTTGCCAATCGTCCCTTGATCTTTGTGTTTAGGCATCAGAAGGGTGTTTTGTTCACGGATCTCAAAGGAATTTTGGAGAATTGGAATGTAAATTTTAGCGAAAATGGCAACATTAATAGTATTTTTTAAGTATTGACTTGCGAAACTCACTGGTTTTGTCATGTTTTTTTAAGTATTGAACAACATTAATGGTATTATTATACGTGAGACTTGAGAGTGACAACATATTCTTATAAAAAAATTCAAGTATCAAATAAAATTACACTTAAGCGTCAAACAAAGATTTGTTTAACTATTTAGAAAATTCCATAACCCAGGTGTTGAGAGCACAAGCAGCCTTGCGAAACCCTTTGAAACCTGCCCCTTTAGCTAAACCCTCAAAATCTTTCTCAGTCCTCTCTTTGCCTCCAGGGTTGTGAGCCAACATAATGACATCGATGTGCACCACATTTTGGGTCGCTGCAGTCGAGTCAGGAACTTCTGGAAGCATACATTCGGCCACAATAACTTTCCCATTATCCGGAAGTGCTTCATAGCAATTCTTCAAAATTTTCAAGCAATGTGCATCACTCCAATCATGAAGTATCCACTGTTTAAATCAAATTAACACCAACATTCAGAAACAAAGCAAAAAACAAAGGGGCGTGTTTATGGTAAAGATTTAAAGAAACTGAACTCACCTTCATAAAAATGGCATCTCCTTTTGGCACACTTTGAAACATATCCCCTCCAACATGCTCAATACCTGGATACGTTGTAGCGTCTTCAATAACATGAGGCAAGTCAAAATTGATACCCTTGAGCGAAGTGTGTTTGGAGATGATCTTGTTAAGACTCGCACCGATGCCACCACCAACATCAACTAGGGTTTTCAGACCACTGAAACCATCGTACAAATCTACAATCTTTTCCATGGTCATGGTGGAATGATTAAACATTCCACTGTTGAAAACCTTATTGAATCTCTGATCTTTACCATGGTACTCAAAAGCCGACATACCATACGCTTTATTGAACGGAATTCCACCATCCAACACCGCATCTTTCAAATGGTACCAGCTCTCCATCAGAATCTTATCCTGATTCATCAGCAAGAGGGGTGCCAGAGAAACACCACCTTCGTTCTTGATCAAGAACTTGCATACAGGGGCTAAACCGTAGAACCGCTCAACACCACCGTTGCCGGAATCCTTGAGGGTACAAGTGAGCACGGAATGGCTAGCGAGGAGACTGCAGATCCTGTCAAGCATCGCCGGAGCTTCTGGATTGTTCACGTTGGGAACCTGAGAAGCTAAATCGGAAGATGAGAGTGAAGCTCCGGGGCCGGCTTTAGCAATGGTCTCGAGTAAATCAAGCTCGATGGCGGTTTTCATGACCATTGGTAAGACGGATGCAGATGCTAATTGCATGGCGAATAGGAAAGATTCGTCGTCGTGGGGGACATTCACAGATGCATCACTGGTTGAACCCATATTGATCTTGTTGGAAAATGAATTGGTATGTGTTTTGTGGGTGGGGTTTGTGTTGGTATGAAAAGGAGTATCACTGAAGCATTCTATATATACACTTTAGATTCACCTACTACTACAGTATACGTTACATGTTTGCATCCTCATATCGAGAAGAAGGAGCTTTCTTTGACCAATGTTGAAAGTCGAAACTAACAATGTATATTATTGTTATTGTTTTGACTTTAATTTGTGCAATTGGTTATGATGGGACCAAGATTCCACCTACCGCGATGAAATGAAGACAAAAGAGAGAGGGTTTCGAAGCGATCCGTGACTCTCCACCACCAAATCCAAAATCTTTCAACTCAAAGTTATGACTTATCTCTATTTCCCACCAACTCTTCGGCCATCCAATTGAGAACACACGCTCACACACGTTTTTACTTATTTTGATTATAAGGGTCACAATGCATTAAACTAGAGACACTCACCAGGGTTGCAAACGAGCCGAGCCGACCCCAAGATTGGTCAGGCTCGGCTCGGGCTTGTTTAAATTATATGCGGCTCGAGAGCTCGTAAAGACTTACACAAGTTCAGCTCGAGCTCGAGCTCAAGCTCGACTTGTTTTTTTGTCTAATATGCTTAAATAAGCTTAAGCTTGGTTCGAACTCGTTGATGTGAATATTTAATGTACTAGTTTTATATTTATAATTCCTAATTCATCGCATCTAAAACACACTTTACAGGCAGTGAACCCAATTGAGTATAGTATAGCTTTGATAAGCAAGGGTGTCGAACTCAATGAGAATGGTAGTGAATTAATTTAAAATATTTGATTATATGTTACAAAACACACAAGGAATAAATAAATGTATTATTAAATCTCAAACGAATAACTAAATAACAAAACTCGATAAACTGACAGGAAGACAAATGTCTTAGATACTTTGGTTTAGACAGATTACATCTTAAAACCATAGATAATTGCACACACATGTTTATTTATTCATGTTCACCGATTTCTAAAATGATTAGGTTCACGTTCGTTATTACTAATCCTTTAGAAAACAAGTTAATTCAAGCAGTGATCAGTTGATTAAACTAACATATTTCCTAGTGTTCAATTCGTATCAAGCAAGACATGTAATAATAGTTAATCAAATTACTAATTCAATTAAGCTCTTGTCGATGGTTCGTCATACAAAGCTCACACATTAACTTTCTTATTTTCTAGTTAACCCGAGTTTCACGTTCGTTATTCATAGGCATATAATCTTGATGGTCATCAAAATCATAAGAGACAAACAATCAAACAAATGTTCATACAACTCAATATACTTAATAACTAACAGAAAATAATTATCATTATCACATAAGGATCTTTTAACAAGCTTGACAAGATAAATTAAACATAAATAAACAATCCAATATAATAATTAATCCATAAATCAAGGTTTTATCTAACCATAAACTCAAAGAAAATGGTTTTGACACAAAAATCAGAAAGTAAAAACATAGTAGTATCACAGTAGAATGCTAAACATGGTCACGATAACAAACCACATGATTACCGACACAAATTCGCTCTCTAATCCTTTAGATCTTCGCTCTTGTCAGCTTAACGGCCTTCCGCCTACCTTCTAGATCCTCAAAACGGCTTACCAGAAGTTACTTGTCGACTAAAATAGGTTAGAAGTTGGAATCTCTCCTAAGAACGAATTAAATGTAAATATATAGCAACTTTACACCGCCAAACGAACGTAGCATGTAGGTCCAAGGAAAGCAGCGCGTTCCACCAAGCGATCCTGTAATCAGCAAGTCATGAACACATCGCGTTCATAATGGGAACGCAGGGCGTTTGGCCCGCTTTCAACCCAATTCTTTCATATTTGCAGTCCAACTCTGTTTTTTGGGGCCTTGTTCTCCATTTCTACTCCAACAACATATAATAGATGTAAATTACAATTCAAAGCATTATAAGTACCTTTTAGTTATAAATAAGAATAATAATGGCTAAAATATTAAGATATAATATATAAAAAAAATATGTTTAAAAATACACATATCACTGTTATGAAATACGTTTACTAATACCCTAAATCTCTAATTCCCTAAATATGTTTTATTTTAATATATAAAAATAATAATAATTTAATATATATATATATATATATATATATATATATATATATTAAATTGTTATTATTTTTATATATTAAAATAAAATATATTTAGGGAATTAGAGATTTAGGGTATTAGTAAACGTATTTTATAACCAGTGAGAGAGAGACTCGTTTAGGCTCGCGAGCCTAATCAAGCTTAGTGACAAAGGCTCGAGCTCGTTTAAAAAACGAGCTTAAGATTAAACTCGAGCTCGGCTCCAGCTCGTTTAAAATCGGTTTCGAGTCGAGCTTTCAACGAACCGATCTCGAATAGCTCACAAGTAGTTTGACTCGTTTGCACCCATAACACTCACACATACCTTTTACTTATTTTGATTATAATGGTCACAATGCATTAAACTAGTAGTTCAATGGATTGTCATATTATTTTTTTACATTTCATATAACTCTATCATTTTTCTTTCTACAATGCATTGAACTCAATAAAGTTTCATAGAAAAATACAAAATTTAATTTATAGTATATATATATCTAAGAATTAAAAATTTTCCTTTTTTCTATTGAAACGTTTAATAGTCATTGAACTCCAAATATATTGAATGTCCATGTGACATCTAACTATGATTTATATACTTTAATCAATTGAATAACAAATAGACATGTCAACTCATTGAACTCATTGTTATGGATGCTCTAATAAAAATAACATGATCACAAAATAAGCAAAATGGATTCTAAATGTCGTTTTTCTCAAAATAAGAACAACAATATCTACGCTCATAAGAGTGTAATAAGATGGAGGTAGCTGTAACCACTTCCATAAATAACTTACGACAAAGGAAAAATATGGATTAACATGGGATAATCTCTTACAAATGAGACGTCAACCTACAGTAAGAAAATAAACAATAGTGTGTGACACAAAGAAAAAAATACGGTACACAAAATAAAACTGAAAATGATGAAGGGAATGTGTGAGCATTTAATGCACAAATAGGGAAGCTAGCAATATAAGAAGAAAATACTAGCAAAAACAAGATGAGATTAAAGGAAGTAAAACAACTCAACTACATGGTTTATGATAGGGGTGTGCAACATTTGTTCCAAAACAATTCATTATAAAATGTATCTTTCAAACATCATAGTAAATCAATAATAATCAATACGGAAAAAGCTATTTAGGGATGTTGTGTAGTCAAGTTGGACCCTTCCTTTTGGAACTGGAAGTACCTTAAAATATTTAAACCACAAAACTGTAAACACAAAGCTTAGTGAGTTTCTCAAAATTCCATATAACCATAAATAACATCGGGCAATGCCCACATATCGGGCCCCACCTAACATAATGTGCCCCGCCCAGCATAACAAACGGTCCCTGCCCGTCATAATAGATCCCCACCCAACACATAATGCAAATTGGCCTGACCTATCGTACAAATGCAAGAGTCACAAAAGAATGCTAGCATCATACACATTATAGTGAGAAGACTCACCTCAATCTGAAGACAATATAACCCACACACTCGAGCTGATAATTCTGAGTCTCCTCACACTAAACATCTATATAACAAAACCTTAATTAACAATTAAGGTAAGAACTTACTTGTTACACCCGCATATTCGGGTTAGTCAATTAAGATATAATAAGCGTTAAAAATGACTTTTTGATAGAAGATTATTTAGGATAAATAAATATTAACCATTGTTATAGTATATGTCA